GACAGACTCAGACTCAGACAGACTCAGACTCAGACAGACTCAGACTCAGTCAGACTTACTCTCAGACAGACTCAGTCCCAGACAGACTCAGACTCAGTCGGACTCAGACTCAGTCTCAGACAGACTCAGACTCAGGCAGACTCAGTATCAGGCAGACTGCCTCTGATACTTGCTTCATGTGTTTGTTTTGCTCATCCTGTATCAGCACTTTTCAAGCGTCCTCCTCCATGTTTGCTCTCACCACATCGTCTCCTCTTCTTCCTCCTCCTGCAGAGCCAGATTGGGCGTCGCTGACTTTGGGTGTGTTTGTTTGCCAGGCCTGCTCGCTCCTTCATCGGAGCATCCCTCACATCAGCCGAGTCAAGTGTGTTCAGGACACGTGGGAGGACAGTGAGGTGGAGGTACGATGCTAATGCCACTGTCTGCTCGTCTCTGTTGGTTCTGTCACTCTGAGCCCACTGATGTGAGAGGACATATTCTGTTATGTCTCAGCTCTGCCTGTTCGCTCACTCCAGCTGGAGCAAAGTACGGCAGGACCATTTACCATTTAATCAAACTACACCCCTGTCTTCAGAAATTTCAATAACACTCTGTCTCCAGATTCAGCACCATTATTACAAGTCAGAATTCAAATTATTAACAATCACATTGTTAGTAGCAAATAATCAAATTTCAGTTAATCTCGTTGTGCTAGTAAAAATCTATATTGCAGATGTCTTCCTAGTCAACATGAGACAGAATTTTCAGTTAAAGAAAATCACATTTTAGATATTCATTGTGATAAGGCCCAAGTTTTATTTCTGATATGAAGTTAGTTAAAATATTGTTTATCAGATTGTGAGGCTGGTGTTACAACCGAGTGCTGTTTATTTGAAAAGTTTGAGACCAATAGTTGAACATGGACCTGTATTATTCACACACACACACACATGCTGGGTTTTCTATTATAATGGGGACTTTGAACTGACTTCCATTCATTTTCCGGTCATTAGCCGAACCCAGACCCCTTGCCTAAAATTGGCATATGTATCCCTCCTTATGATGTAGCAAAAAAGTCCCCCCCCTCCCACACACACACATGAACTACAGCTAAAATAATTACATTTATTTATCTGCAGTGCATTCTGGGGATTCATGTTTGCAGTAAAATAAACACCAAATGATTTAATCTGTATTGAGGAGAGCTGAATTTTTAAAAAAATTTCATACAGTGTTTTTTAAAGAAAATAAACGTGTAACAGGTGTTTAATGTTGGAGTTTTCAGAGTAAAGCACATTTAAACAGCAGATGGGTTTGACTCTTTGATGGATGAAGCTGTTAAATCTTTTTCTTTATACTGGAGGAGAAAAGAACAAATCAGTGTCCTGTGAAAGGATGTTTCTGAACATGAACAGTAACACTAGAATATTTCTTGTCTCCTCTCTAGTTAATGGCTGCGATGGGAAACGGTGCAGCTAAAGCCAAATATGAGCAGAAGGTTCCTGCTTTCTACTACAGACCAACACACACAGACTGCAAGTAAGTTCATGTCCTGTTAGTCTGGACCAAGAAGGAGAACACTGGACGTCTTTATTCTCTCCTTCCACTGATAGTTTGAGTTTGTTCTTGGAAAATCAATTGTCTCACAGTTTGTTGACATGTTTTAGCCATGCTAATGGTTACATTTCAGCCAGCCTGTGTACTGGCTGTGGAGCATAAACAGAGAGTACATACTGATGGTGCTGAATGTTTCAGGCCATCAGTATAAAAGTTAAAAAATTGCTCAAAATTCAAATTAAAATTGGATGGAAACACGGCTACTTTTTCACATCAAACAGAGAGAAGTAAAGTATCAGTATTTATTACTGTCTTTTTCTCCATTTTAAGCACACTAACTTTACACATTTGTAACAACAAAGGAAAAAAAAAAGTTTTTACTTGTAATTTTTAAGTGTAATTAATTCAGAAAATCTTTTCAGGACCCCACCTTGATGTGGGGTCCTGACGCTAACTTTGGGAACCACTGCTCTAGATGATCCATTGTCTCAGAGTGGGATCGTTTCGATTTTTACTTTTGAAAAAGTTTATGTCACAAGGTTCATTTTAGTTTGCCTGGGTTTTTGTTCTGTTCTGCATTAAAAACAGCCTGCAGAGAAAAGTTAAGGGAAAAAAGGAGCAGATTATTTATTTATTTATTTTTGGCTCTTTCAGCTGAGGCTCATTTCTCATGGATAATCTGATAAATAAATTAAATAAATATTTTTACTCTGTAATATTTTAATGCAAAGAAAATTAGAATAAATTTAATAAGTGTATGAAGAACTGATTTCTGATCAGACTCTACAAAAGTTAGGCTTTTAAAATAAGTTAAAATACTAGATTAGACCCTTATTCTTTTCAAATTAATGATTAACTAGAAGCACTCAGAGAGTTCAAACCTCCACCAAGACCAGTGTCCTCCATCCTGTTAGAGTTAACGCACAAAGCAGAGATGGAAACACATTTGTTGAATAAGTTCTGACGTAGTGAACATTTAAGCAGCAGTATGATGGGATTTCTTCTCTGTGGAGTCCAATGTGGAAAAAAAAGTCAGACTGGTCACCCGACGTTATTCATGGTCAAACTGGTGTGGGATTAAGCTCCTAAGTTTTCATCAGTCACATTTCACCATGTAAAACGTCTGTTTTATCTCCTTGTATGAGTTTGTAATGGTTTGACTCTCTTTATAAAGTGCTTCCTGGCTCCCCTCGTCTCCAAACTTTGAGGCCCGGCAGCTCTCTGTTTACAAGCCTAGTAGAGACAAACTGTTTTCATTGGTTGTTTCAGAAATGTGGTGTGTTTGAGGAAATGGGAAAAATAGGTTTCATGGTGCAGTCACGCACTTCCTGGTCACAAAACATTCTGTAAATGTGCATATTATGGTAAAAATTATTCATCATTAAATGTGTTTTAACATTAGTTTTATAAAGTTTGAAGTCCGTGCTGTCCAATCCAGCTCACTGTTTTTTAAAGAAGCCCTGTGAAAGCATCACAGCTTTGCCGATCTCAGAGTGTTAAAAGAAAAAAAGTCCTGTATCCACATCGTGATCCAGAACATCACCAAAATTTAATGGTGTGTTCCTTGGCCCAGTACACACATGTGGTAAAAATGTCATGACAATCTGTCCACAAGTTTTTGAGTAATGTTGTCCACAGACAGAACGACAGATAGACAGACATACACGACCGAAAACATTACCTCGCCCTTGGCAGAGGTAATAATCTGCAGTTTGACAGTTGGTAAGACTTCTTGAAGTAAAAAAAATACTTTTCAGATTAACAAGATTAATAATCCAACATATTCTGATCTTGTTTAGTATATGGGTCTAAAAACAAGATCAAAAAGACTTTTTAGCTGATATCAGACTGTAAAACCTGGTTAGAGGAACAGTTTTCTGCAGTAAAATGACTCTACTGCTCAAAACCATGAACAGATTAAATAAGCTTCACTTTAAACCTGATCAGGTTAGTTTCAGAGCACTTGTTACCACAGAAACATAAGTGCTTCGTAGTTCATGCAACCGATTCAAGGCTTAATAAATTCAGGTTTACACCAAAATCCCAGGTTAATCCCTTATCCTAGATTTGTGCAATAGGCCTCTGGTTGTCTTTTTGCCTAAAACATCAGCGAACTTCAACCACTGTCTGTTAGCAGAATCTTTCATGGAAGCTGTTGGAAAGGAATGATTGAGTGTTCATCTGCAGTTATAGGCCTGTTTTAATCTGTGTTAGTGATACTGACACTGGACAGATGCGGTGATCGTCTCAACACACACTCTGGGCCAGGATTACTGACATCCTGTAAATATTGTCATTATGTCAGTTCATTTTTATAATCTAGTTTGATTTTAGATGAAGTTGCTGGTCCTGCTTTAACAGCTCGTGAGAACTACACAGCATGAGACAGTGCAAACAGTTATTAAAACAGCTCTGACTTCATTCTTTTCTCATCATAAGACAGTTTTAGGTTAAAACTCCAGCAGGACAGGCAGTGGGTGGGATGCTTGGTCTTTTCATTGCATATAGTGAAAATGTTGACAAACTGCTGATTGCAACAGAAACTAGCAGTTCTTGTCTTCAGTCGTGTGTGCAGTTCACATCAAAAGCTAACGGTGAGTTGTTTTCTCTGCAGGCTGCTGAGGGAGCAGTGGATCAGAGCCAAGTATGAAAGAAACGATTTTGAGTTTATGGAGAAGCAGGAGCCTTACTCTGCAGGTAAAGACCGCAGTCAGGTGACATGTTCCTGTGTTGAAGCTGCTCTCAGAACCAGAGCTCTGCAGCCCACATACCTCTGAGGACTGACAGTCTTAGTTCTGTTCAAACGGACCTGATCAATCATTTCTGCTGTTTGACCTGTTGTTAAGTTCATCTTTTAACTAAAGTTTTTTTAGTTTAATAGTTTCATTCATTTCGATTTAAAAACAAAAATTTCAGTACAAAAACAACAAAAAAAGAAACACAATTCCAAAATGAAAGGAAGCAGAAGAAGAAAAGAATCTTATAACATCTGCCCCTTTTTAACAAAAAAAAATTAAATATATACACATTATATGTGTGCACATACACACATTCATATACACATATATAAACATACATATACACATGCTCATATATAACTTTACACCCTCATCAGCAAAAAAAAAAAAAAAATTGATTAACCCCTCAAACATCAGCTTCGTATTTTTTAAATAATTTAACTTTTATCATTTTACCGAAAAAATTAATGAAATCAGCATTTTTATAATCGCTGTCCAAGTTATTCCACATTCTTATTCCTTAACTGAGGTACATTTATCCTTCAAGTTTGTTCGAATTTTAGATATTATAAACATTTCAAATCCTTTCAAATTGTAACAACTTTCCCTCTTAACAAAATTAGATTGAATATTCAAAGGCAATACACCTTTATGAGCCCTATACATAATCAACAAAATCTTATAATCAACTAACTCATAAAATTTTAGTAATTTCAATTGATGAAACAATACATTAGATGGGTGACTATAATGCTTTCTGGTAATAATTCTTATAGCTCTTTTTTGCAGAATAAAAATAGAATTTGTAAAATGTTTTACATGCCTTACCCCAAATTTCAACACAATAAATCAAATGTGGAACAATTATTGCGTTTTACAATACAAATAGTGCTTTATCATTAAACAACTCCTTTACCTTATGTAGTACTGCAATATATTTTGCTATTTTTATTCTTAAGTAATTTATATGATGTTTCCAGGTCAGGTTTTTATCAATTATAACACTCAAAAACTTTGCTTCACTAACTTTATAGATTTCCACACCATCAACTTTAAATGAAACGTCGACCGTTCTTTTTCTATTACTGAATATCATATAATTTGTTTTGTCCAAATTTAGTGATAATTTGTTAAGCTTAAAGCAAGATTGTATTTTTACAAATTCTGTCTGAATCATCCTGAACATTTGTTCTAAATCTTTGCCCAAACAAAAAAAAAGTCGTATCATCTGCGAACAAAACACATTTAAACAACCCTGACACATTTACCAAATCATTTACATATAAGAGAAACAACTTTGGTCCAAGCACAGAACCTTGTGGAACTCCACATGTAATATCACCAAATTTAGATCTTACATCATTTGAACAAATTGTTTCCTGTTTGTCAGATTACTAGATACCCACTGTATCAGACCTCTCATACCATATTTGTATAGTTTCTCAAGAAGGATACTGTGATCAGTAGTATCAAAAGCTTTCTTTAAATCAACAAAAACGCTAACAAAATATTGTCTTTGATCAACAGCTTTTGTTATTTGTTCAATCAAATCCATGAGAGTCATTGATGTTGAATTACTAGCTCTAAATCCATATTGATTATTACTCAAGACATTTTGTTTATCAATAAATCGATCCAATCTGATTACAAACAATTTCTCCTGTTGTTCTGCTCATATGAACTTTTAGCTAATGTTGTTAATGAAGAGGCAGATTGTTCTCTGTTATCAATATTAAATGAAGATAAGGAGACGTCGATTTTGGCCAGCCAAAGAGGGAGTTTTATTGAGTTCAGCAGATCAATACAACTGACAGAAACATCCCAACTGAACTGACGTATTTAGAAACCAGACCCTTTTATACCCAAACTGTTTTCATAACACAAATTCTACGTAACCAGGAAAGGTGGTCACTTCCAAGAATTGGGCTGGAAATTTAAGACCACCCAATACACACTTATTAAATCTATTTGTAGACTGTTTGATGATCTCACCTTTTACAGAATGTTCTTACCAGATGTTTATACGACCCTTATTCTGACCTTTTGTCCCCGCTCCTAACAAGTACTGCTACAATCCTCAACAATAACTAACATACAACTATTGTCTTAATCATTTTAGTCATTAGTTACAGATTTAGCAGATTTTATGTTTTATCTTTCGTTCTGTTATTTTTATCTTCTAGATTTTGTTTGGCTGATTTTAGCTCTTGTTCAGTTCATTGTAACTCTAATACCTCAGCTTCATGTTCTGCAGTCTTTCAGCTTGCAGCATCTCTCTCTCTTTATTTCTTTACAAACTCAGTTTGATAAGTAGCTTCCTTCCTGTAGTTCAAGGCTTTTTTGACATTTGTTTCTTTGTCAATCTTGATAAAAAAGTTTTTGTGAGGGCGGGGCAAGATAGCGGAGGAGTAAGACGTGTGTCGCGTGGACTCCCGCTCCGACTTGTTCCGTTTATGGTTCTCTACTAAATGTCCTTGCTGTTTTGAACATTTGGTCTGTCTGGACTCGACCCCTGAGTGATTCTTGCCTGGAAGAATAGAAGAATGGCGACAAACTCGAGGAAAGGCAAACATTCTAGCTCTGCGGCTGTTAGGCCCGACGCCGCCTCGGAGCAGACTGCAGCTAAAGCCGGACCTTCGACGTCCTCCTCCCCCTCGCGCAGTGAGACGGACACACTCTCCTTGAAGTCTGACATTCTTGCCACTATAAAAACCGATCTCTCAGCTGTGATCAAATCCGAAATAAAAGCGGCTTTAGCTGAAGAGTTTATTCTTATTAAAGGAGAGCTACAAGCGGTGAGAGCGGAAGTGGCTAACGGCACAATGCTACTACGCGCCGACCTGGACCACCTTAAGCAGAGCGTAAAAGAGATGGAGGACGTCTTGTCGACCTGGTCCGATGAGGTTGTTTCTCTGAGCACCACCGTCTTGGAACTGAAAGAAGAAGTTGATGGGCTCAAAAAGAAGTGTGACGATATGGAGGGGCGCATGAGAAGGTGCAATGTGCAGATTATTGGAGTTCCAGAGACGCCAGAATCCAGCTCAACTTCAGCAGTGGCTAAACTGCTAGCAGAGGTTCTACAGATGGATAAAGAGCCACTGGTTGACCGAGCTCATCGCTCTACAGGTGGGAACAAGTCAGGAGATAAGCCGCGGGTCATTGTCGCTAAACTGCACTATTATCAAGAATGTGTGGAAATGTTGCATCGGGCGCGGAGCCGCGGCCATCTTCGTTTTAAGGAGGCACCGATTATCATCACATCTGACTTAGGGCTGCCACGATTAATCGATTAATCGACGACTAATTGATTATTAAAATAATCGATGACTAATTTAATAATCGATTAATCGTTTTCTTTTTTTTGTTGTTGTTGTTCTTTACTTTGTTTTTCTCTCCAAACTGCTTTGACACCTTCCACTGCCACATCTGCCTTTCTGTCCTTGACACACATGCACAGTAGTGGTAACTGGGGTAGGCCGTGGATGTCACAAGACATTATACAGACAGGCTCTGGTATCATGGCTACCTGACAACAGAGCTCAAAGTGTGGGATCATTTGAAGAAAATGAAAGAGAAACTTGTGCAATATCTGCAGAGCAGAACTTGCCTTCCACAGCAATTATTTTTAGTTAGCATATAGCTAAACTCTAACGATGGTTATATAATAGCAGCTGCATTCTGATGTGATAAGCTCTATGTTTTATATTCAATTAACGTATGATCCGATTAGTCGACTAATCGAATAAATAATCGGTGATTAATCGATTATTAAAATAATCGTTTGTGGCAGCCCTAATCTGACTACACGGCGGCTGTGGCCAAGGCTCAAGCAGCATTTACGGAGGTGAGGAGGCTCCTTCGCAATGACGTGATGTTCGCTATGGCCTGTTTTTTCCTGCACGGCTCCGCATCTCTCATGGGGAGGAAAACAAGGAGTTCCTGGATGCCAATAAAGCAATGGACTACTTTAAAAAGAGGATCATCTCGGCGACGGACAACGAGGACCGGCGTTGACCGCAGGTCCAACTCTCATCGATCCATTATGACTGTCAGTGTAATGAGCCTTCCAACTTTATGTCCCGTGTTATATCTTGATTTAATTTTAGTCTTTATTCCTATGGACAACATTCCTCTTTCTATGTATGAGAGTTTCACAGGGGGTCTGTCCAGATCTTGGTTAGTGATTTATTTATCAGTGCAGCAAGGAGCATAAACAGTAATAATACTTTAAAGTAAGGGAACCCCCCCTTTTTTTGTCATTGTTATTTAGTTGTGGCAGGAGTCCAGACAGGGAGTTAAGTCCCCCAGTATAAGCACAAATGTGTGGATTTTTTGTTTGTTGKGTTCTCCGTGGTTTTTTTAGGAGAAAGGGGTGGGACTATATCGGATCTATTTGTTTTGAGAATGTCTTTTTCAGGTTATTTTTTGTGATGGTTTGTTGATATTGTACTACAGTCCGATTGACCATACATGAGCAGTTCTAATATTAACAGGTTCATCAACAGTCACCCAGTTAACTGTGTGAGTTGGAATGTGAAGTCCCTCAATGGTCCAGTGAAATTTAGGAAAGTTATGACACACTTAAGACAACTTGATGCTAATATTACTTTTTTGCAGGTGACCCATTTGCGTAAGGCAGAGTGCAATTCTAAGCAGGTGCTGGTCTGGTCAGGTGTTTCAGTCTAATTTCCAATCTAAATCGAGAGGGGTAGCCATCTTAGTTAGTAAACAGGTGCAATTTACGGCATCCAGTGTTAAAACGGACGCTGCTGGACGTTATGTTATTGTGGTGGGAAAACGATAATCACTTCCAGTCATTTTAGTCTCGGTACATGCTCCAAATTGGGATGATCAAACATTTTTTAATACGCTTTTTTTCAAATTTACCTAATATTTCAACACATAATCTCATAATTGGGGGAGATGTGAACTGTGTGCTGTCGTCCCTCAATTGTAGTACAGTGGGGAGGATCTCTCTTTCTAAATCGGCCCAGTCAATTMRTTMATTTCTTAACACTTATGGAGTGGTTGACGTGTGGCGTTTTCG